TGCCTTACCTAACTTAATTATAACATAACCAAAGTAAAGCGTGATTATCCATATATTTACCATTGTATATTAAGTTCACCAGTATTCTAATAAAGCAGTTGTGTAGAGGACTTGGTCTGTGCGCACGTTACTCCAGTAGCAGTATACATCGAACCCCAATACACAACACCTAGTTATTCAATTAAAAGTCTGTTTACATGAGGGTGGGGGGGCCCCAGATAGGTTAGGTAAACCACGTAACTGTAATTGAAAACTATTCCGCTTTGCAACCCAGGGATCTGGGGGTGAAGTTTCTAGAGGTTGTTGGGGTGCTTTCAAATGTAATATGAACGCAAATCCGGCGAGGCAGGTTATCACACCTTGAGACGTTTACATTGCAAGTTGTGACTTGACGTGGTTACCCTTAGCAGACAGACCGGGCAATCTACCTAGGCGGATTACCTAAGGTGGGCTACCCCTCTTAGGTGGGTTACCTCACCTATCCGGGGTTCCCGACCTCCATGTCAACGGGCCAGTGGTGAGAACTATAACCCTTTGCCATCTCCTTCTACTAACCTGTGACGAACCCTAAATTACAAACGAAACGCAAAAAACAGTGTTTTGTGCCACAGTAACTTCATTCTCAGTTCATAACGGACAACGGACGTAACCTCTAGCATACCCAACTAGGTAATCGCAAAAGCTTTTATAATGTACTGGCTAAAAGTACCGACAGTTGTGAGGTTCTATTATGTCCTTAAAACGCAGAGATACCAAAGATCTCCAAGTGCAACCGAAATGGTTAGATGTTCAGGCGATTTCAAAGGGCAGGATGTTTTGCCAGAAGAAACCCTTTGGGAGTCATTCATGTTGACATGTTCTAATTGGCCATTCTGTTGTTATTATGTATGTTAGTATGTTATTTTGCCGTTGTTATTTTAAATTTGAAATGTTTCACAGGAATAGTTAATTTGAGCTATGATTGGTTCAGGTGTTTCTTTTCCTTTTGTTATTCAAACCTTCTTTTTTTTAGGAATTAGCATATATCTACCAGTGTATTTTGTTTTCTCTCTCTGTTTTTGTAACGGTTTATTTGGATGTGAACGGAATAAAAAAAGGAAGAAGTTTGTTTTAATCGTGTAAAAACTTCAGGTTATGGGCCCAGGAGTACGTAAATGAAACATGGAGGAAAAGTTGTTGATCGACAAACTTAACGGAAGCAATTGGAACACTTGGAAATTTCAAATGAAACATTTATTAAACAACAACAAACATATGAAACATATGTGTGAACTGCGGTTATGAGACGTATATGAGCACGATCCTTCGCAGTAAAGCACTATTTGAGCAATAGTGAAAATCAGACAGGCCTGAAATTTTTTTCAGGTCTGATTTTC